TCTGCAGTGTATGAGGTGGACATGCTGCTGCAGTGTGTGAGGTGGACATGCTGTTGCAGTGTATGAGGTGGACATGCTGCTGCAGTGTGTGAGGTGGAAATGCTGCTGTATTCATAAAGCATAATAAACATGGCTATAATGTATGCCTTTTTATAAATATTTATAACTATGTATATAATGCTTAATGAATGCATTATGATATTTTACGAATGTGTTCATAGATTCTTATAGACATGGCATTCATAGAAAGTGTTACCAAAGATTCAGTTTGATTTAATGGTCTACAGTCTTCAATATACATATATTTTATTCTTATGCTCTGCGTGCACTGCAAATTGGCCTCACAATGAAAGATATGGGACGTACTCTTAATTTGTCTTATCTGTTTCATCTGTATCATGACAGAAATGTGTTAAATAGCAAAAGGCATGGTTATGAACGGCAATCGCAAAACCCAAAAATGCCGCAATAATTTTTTTCTAATATTGTTCAGCCCTAAATAGATAACCATTCATGTGACATTACTGAGGACACGGTGAAAGCTGTAGAGGGTGTAGGTCAGACTGAAGCTTCACAGAGAACCAGCCCTGATGCCAGAACCAGTTTAACTCACCAAATGTACTAGTAATTCTCCTATGACAATGTTTAAACAACAACTGACAGACACTCACAGGTGAAGCAAATGACCAAATGACTTGTCAGAACCATGGGCAGCACAACCAACATGAAGTCTCTTTTTATGTTGTACATCGTAATTCTTATTTACACAAAGAGCACACATGTAATACAAAGTCGGCGGTTGCTAAAAAAAACAAAATGTGTAAGACCTATGTTTTAATCCTAATAAGCTAAGGATCCAAACCTGACACTGATCTGTCAAAGGAGCTGAATGTCCATTTTACCATTTATTCAGATTCGGCATTAGCCTACTTTTAATATCAACATGGAATAAATTCATATCAGTTCAGCTTTTTATTTATTTTTTTTCAAAATGTATTTATTTATTTTTGGAAACATGTCTTCCCATTCGACACACCAAGCCCCCACTTGAGGCCAAACCTGCAGAGTACAAGATGTGATTTTAACTGAGAAGTAAAAGCGACAGGAAGGGGGGGGATCTGGCAATATTGGGGAAGGGGATTGTTCCCCCTGTCCCCCCATTTCCAACGGGCCTGACTGCACTACAAGTGCATTATATCCGTAAATCCTTTTGGAATTTAATCACAGGGCCTGGTCCTCGGCCTGAAGCACTGTTGGTGTCTAATACATGATGTCATCTGTGAACGAATTGCTCTTTTGAATTGGTTCTCTTCAGTGAGTCAGGTGAACTGGTTTAGAGAGTTACCTCTCTGGTCAAGATGGAATAATATACATCAGCAATTTACTAGCTGGAAATATTAGGAGCCAAACTCACAGAAATCATCTTCTCCATAACAGTGGTTAGGTTCTGTGTCCTCATCCGACACGTCACGTGAGTCCCCCTGCTGGGGCACTGGTAGAACTGTCAGGATATTCCCTGAGACCCCCACCAGAGAAAAATACCTATGATGAAACACTTACACACATAGAGCATAAATATGTGCTATGACCTTCCTTTACGTGACAGGAATTGACCACTGCGGCATCTTGCCAGTGGCTCTGAGGATGAGCTTCCCCTTCTGTGCCCCTTAAATTGGGCCAATGGGCATTTTGCTGGATGGGCAGCTGGAGTGAAATCTGCCACAGCTGGCCCTCCCCAGTTTTTTTAAGCTCAGCCTTCTTGCAGTTTGCTTTAAAAGGAAAGGAAATTAATTGACCTGTAGCTAATACTATTCATATTTAGGTTAGTAGTAATACATACCAGTTTGAAGAATATTTTGTGTTTCACTTGAACTTGTCCCCAGGTCCTTGCTGTGCTGGTACTTGCTCTGAATATGACGGACAAAATAATTCATAATAGGCAGTGGAAATGCGACGGTTGCAATGGACACTTACTTTGTCAGCCATTTTTTGCCAGCCTTCCTCTCTTGTTTTGGCCGCTTTGGCTGTGTTGCCTTAGGTACGTATAACTTTCTAGAACTTCTCCTATCCCTCCAGCAAAAGCGCTTGCTCTGCTGAGGGTGAAGAATTCTGCCCTAATTTTCGCCATTTTGGACAGCCAACCACAGACTTGCCAATCGTGGTTTCAGGGAAAATATATGTAGCTAGGTGCGTGACCATTGGAGCGTGCAATTATCTTGGATGACTTAATAAGGCTTCTCTAATCCAGTTCTCTCATGGTTTTGAAGAACCGAACTAGCCAGATAACTGTATCCTGAGCTAGAAGATCCAGATGAGTTGACTGTTCTTGGATGCATTAAGCGACGTACAGAGACCCCTCAGGTCTAGCACTACCGGCAAGCTGCTGCATACATATGTTCCCGCCCGCCCAAACCTCCTCTCCCTCTCCTCCTGTGCCCTCCGCCACTATCTGTCCCATCACTCATTCAGACTCCTTCCACATTAAATTTCAGCTACTTTACAACCAACAACAAAATAGCAAAATTAAACTGTTACATTAGTTAGAATTAAAGGTTATACTCATTGATTTGCCACTGTGATCTGCATGGCTGGCATTACGTGTGCGTTTAGTGAATATTAATCAACACCCTTCAGATTCAAGAATTCCACAGTGCTGTGGTATAACTGTCACTTAAAGCAATTAAGGTATTGCTTTCACACAGTTCAGTTAAATGTAGAAGGCTGATTTGTGTTAATTAATACTACAGAATAAAATGACTTAGAAATGCACACTGTGTTGAGATTTATTAATTCTTGCTTAGACTGTGCAGATATTTTATTAGACGTTAGAATAATCTATTTGCATGGTAATTTGGGGACCTGATAATTTAGGCTTGATAATTTTTCTTCCTTTAACCTTTCTTTACTTATATAAAACCAAACTTGTTGAATTGTTTAAGAATTAATGAAGGAGCTTGTAACTGATTGATTTATTTTACAGTTTGAAGCATGTAATTTTCAGTGACAAATAACAAAGGTGCTTTGATTGTTACGGGCATGTTGTGGAAGCCCTGTCATTATAATTTTTAAAGCCTTTTGTGCATTAAGATGGGCTTGGTAATAATCTGTTGAAAAGTGCCTGCATCTAATCAGAGTGTGAGTCTTCCTGCTTTATCTGTACCACAGAAGAAGGGTGATCACTTGAGAGGAAATAGCACATAATGGGTTCTGTCTGTACTTTTTTCGGGGATGAAGATCCCTGAATGTGCAAAAGGGGGAAAGTATCACACTTGACTCATGTGTAAATGAGTTTGAATGGCTAAAAATAGGGGTAAATGAACTTATTTGAATTATAATAACATATATGAATCTACATGATGATGAAGTATTATTTGTGTTGAATGTGCTCTACTCAAAATGCGGTAGTAGATATTTATGATGGGAAAACATTATTTTGTTGACTATGAAACATTTATTTTATTAGGGTCAGGTGCTGGGCAGCACAGTGGCTGACTCTGTGTTCTCACCCCCCCCCCCAGCTCTGTGTGTTTGGAGTCAGCATGTTCAACCCGTATTATTCTGTTGTGTGTATTTGTATGCTGGTGTCCCTTTGTGTGTCTTCATCTTATTGGGACAAACTCCAGATTCACTCTGGCCCTGAACTGGGGAAGTGGTGATGGGGTTAAGCCACGTTTTGTTTGTTTGACTCTACAGCGCCTGAAGCTGGTGTGCTCCCCTCAACCAGACTGGGGCCCATTCCTGATGAAGCACCGTGGAGAGCGCTATAAGAACATGATAGATCCCCTGGGGACCAACTCACTGGGACTCAAGCTTCCGCCCAAGGATTTTGAGCTGGGCTCCCAGTACATGTAGTTGCCGCTGTGACTTGTGGGTTGCTTGAGTCTCTCTTTCTTCTCTCAAACCAATTTCCTTCTCTCTAATAGGGTTCATGATTAATTATGTCATATGGTTGAAAACACTTCCTTCCATTTGAGCATTTTCCTGTAGCAATGTTGTTCAACATATCTTCCCATGAGAGACTTAGCTAACAATATAACACCTTTGCTTAAGAAGCGAAAATGTGTTAATGTTCAAAGCACATAAATCTATCTATCTATCTATCTATCTATCTATCTATCTATCTATCTATCTATCTATCTATCTATCTATCTATCCCTGCCTGTCCATCTGTCTGCCTGTCTATCTATCTGTCTTACAATTGTTCAATTATTTTTTCCCCCACAACTAATTTTACAGGCACTGGTAGCAAAAACCCGATTACCTGACAAATTACTGAATATTTAAAAATATACCTTTAAAATCTATGGTACCTCTTTTGTTCAAATTGTGGATTAGATTAAATTAAATATCGATGCCTGAGGAATTCCTTGGGAGTCTAGCACAAAAAAAATAATGGAGAGCTCCCAGGTTGAATGGTATCTCAGTTATACTGCAATTTGTGTCTGCCTTGCGTAAAAACAGTTTTACATAATGCTGTTTTTATTGTTTTTACTTGAAACCTGTTTGTCATGGGTACTCCAGTAGAGTGTAGACACACCATTGTCTCCTCTAGGGGTAAATACTGTGCCCTTGGCCTTTTCACTTGGTGAGTAATACTCTCTGTCTCTACTTTGATAGTTTAGGATGCACTGTTGTAGCTTCATCTTTTTTTCTTTCTTTTTTTTTTTAAAGACAAAAGCAGCATTCAACTGTACGTTGCAACTTTAAATATAACCAATGGCCATATATATGTGNAATATAGAGTCTGTTGTTCAATGGTCTATGTTGTGGTCTCTTTCTGGCATTTGTGAGTCATCTTCCCACTCATCTATGTAATGTTAGTAGGGTTAAAAAAAAAATTAAGCGAGAATGAGTATGATTCTGAATTGCAAGTCGACTGTATAATTGTATGTTGTAAAAATTTACACTTTTTAAAAAGTGTTCATGTAGTGTGTGCAGATGTACTCTCATCCTTATGAATATCTGAGCAACTGTCAGAGATAGTGAGATAGTATAGAATAGCTTAGAAAGTTTTTACTGGAACTCGCTTGGTCTGAGATACTGTTGTGGACTTTGGGGGACCGCTTTGCCATGAAATATTTGTCTGTCTTTCATGTAATAGGGTCTCAGGTAAACAGATTCATCAGCTACATCTGTAGGTGTTGAGTGTATACCATCAGCATTCAGGACAAGATGAGTGATTACACATTTTTCAAGTGTCACATTGTGTACTAATATTAAAAAAGAAAACATAAAAATTTCAAGACACAATGTTGACATGGAAAACAGACGTGTTGTGTTCTATGTGAATCAGCTTAATGTTTTTAAAATAATCTATTTAGCTTGTATATAATATCAGCATTGGCCAGCGAAATCCTGTTTTATCAGGCAAGATTGCCTGAATAGGGTCGACTTCAAGCTAAGCAGAACTGGGGAAAGTCACCCCTCAGGCCTTTGTCTTTGTGTATACTCAGAAATGAGCAATGATTCTTATCAATATTGTTCATTTTGTAGTTAAACTAGCCTATTTTTTCAATGTACATGATACCCTGTCTTCCCTAAGGAGGTTGCTGTCATTTTTTTTTCTATGGATAATGTAATTTGCTCTGATTCCTGAAATATCAAGGAGTCAGTGGTTTGAAGAGTGTGCTTGGAAGAAGTATCACAGCAGATATGACTAGTGATGAGGATGTTCTGATTGCCATATGCTGTTGTGTTAATGAAGCACTCTATAAAATATGATTTTTTTCCCTCTTATCGTGTAACACGGTAAAAAAAAAAAGAGAGGATAATAGAAAAAATGGAATCCCAGTTGTTGATGCACTTATAATGATGTGCCACCTTTATTTATGGACATGTGTTTTAACTGATTCTCTTGTGTGTCTATAAATGTTTCTTGCTGGTATTATTGTCTTTACTATCTTCCCCCAGCCTCCCAGCACTGGGAAACAAACCACTGAGTTGGAAGATAACTGAATGTGCAATGGAAGGCTGTGTGAAATATATCATTGGGATTGTTCAAATAGTCTGTCCAATGAGCAGACAATGGAGAAGTGTCCTCTATGCACAGGCACTGCTTCACAGAAGACAGGGTTCCACGCCATGCATTTTGCTAAAAAGCTCCCAAACCCTCTAACTACTTGACAAAAGTCAGTTATCTATAGAATCGGCAAAATGTTTATGGGTAGAGACAGCAAACCTTGTGTTACTGTGAATCCAATTTTTTCTTCTTTCCTGAAATTTATAGCTTACATGGAGCCACTTTCAGCACTCTTAGGCCCTCAAGTTGTCAGGCTTGAATATAAGTTGTCAGGCTTCTTTGTCATGCGGTTTATGTCACAGATGGCAAATGTATGCTTGCATTTTCACCCCCCTTCCCCCTTGCATGTGTCAATCCAGCCATTGCTCTTGTAGACATCAGTACCTCCTCAGATTACTGGCATGCAGAAAAGTTATTGTTCATCCTAGTATTTGCATTCATATAATGTGTGTTGTTTTTATGCCTATAAGTCAACTTTAGGCAGTAGATAACCAAAGAAGGAACGCTTTATGAAGGGTTTAAAGACAAAAAAAAGAGAAAATTGGCATGTCAGAAAGACTGAGATACTGCCAGTCACTTTCCATTAGTGTTTGTTGATGATTGCCAACATGCCACAATGCATCTTCAGGTAACCATTGGCCTTATAGATGTCTTCTAATTTTAGAATATTGTGTGTATTTCAATATAAAAATACAGAGTAGCCTATAGTCTGCAATATATAGCTAAATAAAAAAAATGTCACTTATCTAGTGTATGTTGTGTCTTTTGGGCACTTAATTGTGGACCTATCAGTGTATAGGTTAAATTTCTAATTACTTGCGTAATGTCATATGTGTGTTCTATGTGGGGTACTGCTGCCTATGGATATAGATATGTACCTCCTACAAACCATGACATCAACTAGTTTACCATATAGACTATCACCATATACTATAAACATACATATATATATAAATATATAAAAATATAAAGTTTTGAATCTTGTGCCAGAAAAGAGAAAAGAATCATATATTACATGTGAAATGCATTATTTCAAAATGTCATTAATTCTTGAGGCCCTACCTCAGATTTTCTATTTATGTATACAAATTGCAATTTATGTATAATATCTTTGCCTATATTATAATGTCATAAATTAGAATTTATCCTATAATGTATAACTTCTCAAATCACTAAATAAATGTCAATGTTTTCAACATCAGTACTGTGTCAAGTTGTCTGTGTAATTCAAAAACACAACTTTTGGACAAGTGTGGTTTCTCTATATATGCACAAATTTTGCTGATTGGGCCTCTACAATATGTTGGTTCCCCTGAATCTATACTTCTCCCTTGCCTTTCAGTGAAAAGGTGCAAATTATTCCCTGAAAGATTTTCATCAAGAAACTTAATGCCAAAATTCTGCTAGAAACAGGATGATTTCATTCACTTGATCTTAGTTCCCCTTCAGGCAAATTGTCCCTGAAAGTGAAGAGAAGTTTAATTTTACATGAGATAGTTGCAGAAGGACGACCTTTTGAAAGTGTGAAAGTAGCTACAACAATCATTCTTATCCAAGTAGGCAATCTAGTTATTGCAAATGTTTGATTATATTGTCAAGTTTCAGTTAAATATTGATTAGGTTTTGGAGATACTACTGTAAAAGCATTCTTTCTACTTATATCTTTTCATACATTATTCATACAACAATAACAATAAGAAAATGCTTTAAATTCTTGGAAACCAAAGTACCATGAGTCCCAGTGATCTGATGGTTAACATTCCTTTATTGAGATAAAGTAAATTAAATTGACTCTCCCCCTTCTGTGCCCCAAACTGCAGTATGTGAGTGTGCAGTTTGCATGTTCTTCCTGTGTTTGTGTGTTGGCATCTAGTCTAGGATGTCTGTTGCCTCATGGGCACTGGGTTGCAGTTTTCTAGATTTCTGCAGTTTTCTTAGATATCGTGGTCTAAGAGGAAGTCCCAGGCTGTCACAAAAGTACTTAGTTAAACAAGGCAAATGATAAAATATTTACTGCAAGTTACAATGCGATTAGGGCCAACTAACCAGGTAAAAAGACAAGTTTGAAAACTACAGTACACACAATGAATGCCAAAACTCACTTCTATTACTGCTTACATATTTTAACAGTGTCAACACAATCTGTGAAGAGTTTTAAGAACAGTTTTGTTCTGTGGTTCCACTATGTTTTTTTATGCTGTTCTGTTTCTTGTTATAAGTATAATTTGCTGTTTTCGCTATTTTAGTTTGAGAACAGTACATGCACATAAATAAATTATTAAAATAAATTAGTTTGTATTTTCTTGTTAGTGTAAGCCTCTCATAACTGCCAATATGAAAGAATCTAAACTATTTTAAATGTGGACATTATTGAGGAGATGGGCAAACTGCAGTATATGGTACAAATATCTGTGCATTTCCAGATGATTTTGCCAAGTCTGTGGAATTTGGAAGACAACCTAAATACTAAAATGAGATTTTCAGTTTAACTAGAAAGGGCATTTCCTGAAGGAATCATGAATGTGATCGCACCTGCAGGATCCGTCGGCCGTTGTATATCTTAACCTGTGTAATTATGTCGATGCTAATGCATGGCCTATGAAAGAAAGGTTTGACTTTCCGGAAAGAGGGATGAAAAAGGGATGAGTGTGGAATATCAAAAACAGAAATAAAAGTACGCTTCTCCTTAATGGGTGGAACATTTGCAAGGTGGAACTTTTGAGGTGGAGATTTGAGGTGAAAAACTGGAGGAGAAGAAAGGGCTTAAACACTCCTGAAAATGTTTCTTTCTGATGAATTGTGGTGATTTAAGTATAATTTTTATGAATCTTGATGACACGTGGATGCCATGCTGGACAAAATTGACTTCATACATGGTCAATCAACAGGTAGTTGGAAAGTAGGCAATATGCTACTAAAGCATGCTGGATTTTGTTTTCTCATCCGTGTGGGGAGCAGAACTGTCATAAAAACACATGTTGATGTCTGGATATGCCATAGTTTTTCTAACCCTAACCCTAGGTTTAGTTTGCTAACCCTAATTTGGGGCCTTAGGGTGAATCAACAGGTAGTTGGAAAGTAGGCAATATGCTACTAAAGCATGCTGGATTTTGTTTTCTCATCCGTGTGGGGAGCAGGACTGTCATAAAAACACATGTTGATGTCTGCATATGCCATAGTTATTCTAACCCTAACCCTAGCCTCAGTTTGCTAACCC